GATCGTACCAGTGGGTTTGGGTGAAGGCGGCGGGGGAATCGGCGGTATATTGCTTGGTTAGGTCGACGGCACCGGTGTTGAATGCGTTTGGGGCGAATTCGGCGCCTGGGGCTTCTGGTGGGGGTAGCTGCTGTGGCGGGGAGGGGCCCAGGGGTGACGAGATGTTCGACGGAGGTTTCTGCGGGGTATGCGGGAGTTGCTGTGGCTGGGGTCGCTGGATGTTTGCCGTTGGAGGAGGAGGCATGCCGGTGCGGGGGCCTGGCGGCGGCGCTGGCTTCTGGGGGCCTTGGGACTTCGTGCGACCGGGAGAGTTGCCTTGTTGTGGCTGCTCGGGTTGTTTGGGCGAGGCGCCATACTTCTCGAGCAATTGTTGGGTTGAGTTGTACTTGGTGGCTTCCTTGAGGCGCTCAATGGTAGCGTCGCGTTCCTTGTTCAGCTTCTTGAGGTACGCCTCGGTGTTGCGAATGCGGTAGTCGAAGTAGCTCATGAGCGCGTAGCGGAGGCCGTAGATCCTGGAGGGTTAGATATATTCGTTGCTGCGATGACGATGGACATACAAGACAGGCCCGCCAGCCACCACACTTCCCTCAATGGGACCCCAATTCTGCCAGCCCGTTACGAAAGTGAGCACGACCGCGACCAGAATATACGCGAAGCCGGTATACAGCGTCCACATGACGCGAGCGCGTCGCGAGAGCTGCTTCTGCTTGTCATTGCGCGCGGCGGCCCTGTTGATCTTGCCAGTAAGAGTGTTGAGCGTCCTCTCGAACGAGGCGGCATCTTCGCTACCCTGTCACAGTCAGCAAGCGTATTAGCGCGTGTTTAGATTCGACGTACCTTCCAAGGCCAGAAGGACACCATGTTGGCTCTGGTAGATCGCAGCCCGGTGTGGGAGCTAGATTTCTACCGTTGAGGCCACCGAAGCGTTGCTCGTGTGTGGACCACTTTCAGCTGCGCGACGTCAGCGGGTGTCGGATCGCCAGCCGGGGGGACCCTGGCGGGAACGATGTCACGTGTGCCAACTTTCCTCGCGGAAGTTCCGAGCGGAACTGGTCGTTCTTTACAACGCTCTACTCACTGCACACCGCCCCGACTCTACACAAGATGGCGCTAGTTGCATACCGGAACCTGCTGCGATCCGCGCGCATCGCCTTTCAAGGTACGGAATGCGACATTGACCTACTTCCCGCGCTCACACAGCACAGGCGACATGAACACGCTCTTCGCCGCCCGCACCGAAGCCCGTAACAAGTTCGAGGCGAACCGCAATCTACGAATCGGTAGCGAAGAGTTGCAATCGTCACTAGTGCACGCCGAGGAAGTGGCCAAGTTCTTACGGGAAAACGTCGTTCAAGGGCAAGCAGCGGACCCAGAGGGCGAAAGTTACAGTATGCTCTCTATGGATGGTATCGGGATCAATAGGCTAACACAGGCAGAACTGCGGATACACGAGCATACCGAACGAGGCGACAACGAGGATATCAAAAAGGGCAAGGGAAAGAGTACATTGGGAGGCACAAAATGCTGTTCCTCCTAGGCTTTTATGCACATCGAATGAATCATGATACCCATACAATCCAAAACGCCGACCCAATGCAAGAAATAAAGACCTAGTTTCCAGCCAAACTGGCGTATTGAACATCGTCATCAGCTCCCGGTGGAGGTGCAACGACCATGCTGTCCAAGCTGTTCTGTGGTGCAGCCTCAATCGCGGCTTGGGAAGCAGCTGCCCGTCGCGATGAGCCGGCCACTTGTCGTCCTTCCTTTGCATATTGCATCCTGACGTTCTGATCCAAGCTGTCCAACTGCTTCGGCTTGCCCCAGGTAACGCGCATAGGGCAGCCCTTGATGACCACCTTGCCCTTTAGTGTACCCGCCGCTGTCTCGGCGTCTTCCCGCTTGACAAAGTTGACGTATGCGCAGTGCGCTCGATGTGAGCATACCAGTGACCGAAGTTGACCGTATTGTGAAAAGTGTTTGCGAAGCTCGTGCTCGGGAAGGTCGTCTTCCACGCCTGTCACGAAGAGCGATGCGACGTTGGGATCGGACGGTGGCAGCCAATCTTGCGGGTTTGGCTCCGCGGATGCGCCGCCCATGCGACCTCCTCTTCCTGGCCTCATGCCTCCTCGCGCAGGTGTACCTCGTGAATCTCGCGTTCTGATCGGACCAGGGACATGACTGCTCTCGCCTCCTGCGCCACCTCCGCCAGGCGCTGGCAACGCCTTTTGCCCACTCTCGCCCTCCTCAGCCTCTATCCGTCGCTGCTTCTTGTAGTAGGGCTCGCTCTGCGCCAAACGCTTGAGCAGGTCGCGCGCCTTCTCGTCCGTCTTCTCGTATGCCTCCATCGCTCCACGTCCCTCCTCAATCTCCCTCTCGTGCTCCTGCGCATAGTACTGTCGGTTGATGTCGCTCTGTGGGCCGGGCGCCACCATCTTCAGCGCAGCATCACGGACTACAATGGGCAGACCGAATGACAAATCGAGCATGCAGTGCTGGCAGCAGTTCTTGAGGCGGGCGCATGTGAGGCAGATGTTGGTTCGCTTTTGTCGCGCGGTGCGGTCGGCCTTCCAGCGGAAGATGGTGAAGGGTCGCGTGCAGATCTTGCACTCTGCGCCGTAGTCCTCCTTCAGCATCTGCACATAGGTGCTATCCGGCAGGCACTTCTCGCAGACGGACGGAAAATCGGTAGTTTCCCAACCCGATCCTACAAAAGTTAGTGTATGCTACGCGCAGTGAGAAAAGACATGACGTACGGTTCAGGTCGCTCTTGATTTGCGGCGGCATGGTGAGGCCTGCTGTGTAGGGTGTGCGACAGTGGCTAAGTTTTGAATGTAATCTCGCGACTTCGCCGAGCGAATCTGGGAACGTCGAGTACGCGTAGTGGGGCGCGGTGGTTGTTGCGACAGATGGTATGGGAGTGACGGTAGAAATCTAGGCACTACGCTATACGCCTTTTACGGTCTTGGCTTTCACGCGCTCGGGTGGCGACGACCGACCGCTAGCGCTGTTGACCAGGGCCGCGTACAGAGTCGGTCGTGATTGGGCGACGCCAGTTACCCCCTAAGAAATTCAAGTCCCAATCTCCTACCCATACCGCTCTTTCCTCTCCGGGGTCGTCTTTATAAAGTTTCAGGGTCCTGTCCTCTTCGAATTGTTTATTCTACTATCCGTTTCATTCCCTTCACCCCCCGCATAAACCCATATCACTCTTAATACCCATCATGTCTCCCATTGCGCTCGAAAAGGAAGACCATTCTCGCGATGCCGAGTTCAACAAGGCCATGCACGGCAAGTCTGCAAAGGCTCGCGGTGGAATGACTGCCATGTTGCAAAAGGACAAGGCTGCCCAGCAAGCCGCTGTCGACGAGTACTTCAAGCACTGGGACAACAAGGCCGCTGGCGACGAGACTGAGGAGACCCGCAAGGTATGCATATGTGGCATTGTTGTATACCGTGTTTACTAACAGACCCAGGAACGACGAGACGAATACGCTACCCTCACAAGACACTACTACAACCTCGCAACCGACCTGTACGAGTACGGCTGGGGACAGTCTTTCCACTTCGCCCGCTACGCCTATGGCGAGTCTTTCTACAAGGCCATTGCCCGCCACGAGCACTACCTTGCCCACAAGATGAACCTCCAGGACAACATGCGCGTCTTGGATGTTGGCTGCGGTGTCGGTGGACCCGCCCGTGAGATTGTCAAGTTCGCTGGTGTCAACGTCGTTGGATTGAACAACAACGACTACCAGATCGAGCGTGCCACTGCCTACGCCGAGAAGGAGGGTCTGTCAGACAAGCTCAAGTTCACCAAGGGTGACTTCATGGTATGATATACCCTCACATCCTGAGTACTCCTCACTAACCTGTAGTAGCAAATGTCTTTCCCTGACAACTCTTTCGATGCCGTCTACGCCATCGAGGCCACTGTCCACGCACCATCACTCGAGGGCATCTACAGCGAGATCTTCCGCGTTCTCAAGCCCGGCGGTGTCTTTGGTGTATACGAGTGGCTCATGACCGACAAGTACGACAACGACAACCCCCACCACCGCGAGATCCGTCTTGGAATTGAGATCGGTGACGGTATTTCCAACATGGAGAAGATTGAGGTCGCGCTCGATGCTATGAAGAAGGCTGGCTTCGTGATGGAGCACAACGAGGATCTGGCAGACAGGGACGACCCTTACCCATGGTACTGGCCGCTCTCTGGCCAGCTGAAGTACATCAGCACCATTGGCGACATCCCCACCATTCTTCGCATGACCAAGGTCGGACGTGGCCTCATCCACAAGTTCGTCGGTGGTCTTGAGGTGATCGGTCTCGCCCCCAAGGGTACCCAGAAGACTGCCGACAGTCTTGCTCTCGCAGCCGACTGCCTTGTTGCTGGTGGCAGGGAGAAGCTCTTCACACCCATGTACCTTATGGTCGGAAGGAAACCCGCCGACGCATAAGTTTTCAGTTCTCGCCCTTTGCATTAGACTTCTCTTCGCATCTAGGACCTTGTCGGTCTGCGAGCTATTCCTTCGATATAGGAGCATCATCTCCTGGCATTTGCATCACGCGCATTGGAGACGCGCATATATACTGTAATATTTGGAAGTAGGGCACGGTCTAGGGACGGTCATGGTAACGCGAAATGTGGAGCTATAGAGAATAGAAGAAGTAATCCTCAACTTCATGTTTTGATCATTATCGTACAATATGCAAGCGACTGTTGCATCACTATCCAGTAGATGCCGTATGGAAGGGGTGACTATGGTGAAAGCGACGTTGTTGAGGCGGACCATCCAGGGACCATCCAGACGCACGTCGGGTGTTCTCGCTATAGTGTGGTCCCTGCTCGAGAGCTTTGATCGCTAGCGCCGGCCCCAACGACTCGGATCTTCGCATCAAGAAATTGTCCAGCAAGCCCCAGCAACCACCACAAGCCTCAGCGGCCATCACTCGCCCACGGCACTTCCTCACCACACCTTCACCCTCACACACACCCCACAATGGCTGCTTCAAGGCTCCTCCGACCTACCTCCCGCCTCGTCTCGGCGTCGCGGCCAGCGCCCGCCTTCCGACCAGCTTTCCGCGCCGCAGCCATTACACCGTCAATTGCGAGGAGAGGATATGCGTCAGGCCAGAAGGAGATGACAGTGCGAGAGGCGCTCAACGAGGCCATGGCCGAGGAGATGGAGCGCAACGACAAGGTTTTCGTGCTCGGAGAGGAAGTCGCGCAATACAACGGAGCGTACGTCCCACCATGAAGAAGAACGATGTTATATCTGCGATAAGGAAGAGGAGGGGCCAATTGCGCAGAGAATACATCGCAGGCTATGCACAACGGAATATCAATGGACGGTGCTGACTGAGCCACAGCTACAAGGTCACAAAGGGCCTGCTCGACCGCTTCGGTGAGAAGAGGGTAATCGACTCTCCCATCACAGAGTCAGGTTTCGCCGGTCTGACCGTCGGTGCTGCGCTCGCTGGTCTCCACCCCATTGTGAGTCCCTCAGTCATCATGACCCAAAAAAGCAAATCTGACAGCGACAACAGTGCGAGTTCATGACCTTCAACTTCGCCATGCAGGCCATTGACCAGATTATCAACTCCGCCGCAAAGACCCACTACATGTCCGGTGGTATCCAGCCCTGCAACATCACCTTCCGTGGTCCCAACGGTTTCGCGTCCGGTGTCGCTGCTCAGCATTCCCAAGATTACACTGCGTGGTACGGAAGCATTCCTGGATTGAAGGTTGTTTCGCCATACAGCGCCGAGGATGCCAAGGGTCTGTTGAAGGCTGCTATCCGCGACCCCAACCCGGTCGTGGTTCTCGAGAACGAGTAGGTCACAACAGTTGCAGGACGGGAGACTGTGTACTAACACCCTCAGGCTTCTCTACGGTCTTTCCTTCCCTATGAGCGAGGAGGCCCAGAGAGACGACTTCGTCATTCCCGTAAGACACCCCACCAACCTCCCCACCACACTTCCAAACTAACCCCCCATCCAGTTCGGAAAGGCCAAGATCGAGCGCCCCGGCAAGGACCTCACCATCGTCACCCTCTCCCGCTGCGTCGGCCAATCCCTCGTTGCCGCCGAACAACTCAAGTCCAAGTACGGCGTCGAAGCCGAAGTCATCAACCTGCGCTCCATCAAGCCCCTCGACGTCGAGGCCATTGTCAAGTCCGTCAAGAAGACCGGCCACATGCTCTGCGTAGAGTCCGGATTCCCGTCTTTCGGCGTCGCGTCCGAGATTATGGCGCTTACCTGCGAGTACGCCTTCGACTACTTGGAGGCGCCCCCTGCCCGTGTTACCGGTGCTGAGGTGCCCACACCATATGCCCAGAAGCTCGAGGAGATGAGCTTCCCCAGTGAGAGCTTGATTGTGGATTACGCTGCCAAGCTGCTCCGCGTATAGATCCGGACTGTAAGGATAGGAGTTCGGTGAAGCAGCTATTCCAGCGTTTATGTACTCGATCGGTGCATTGCGTAGGGAAATGAGGGTTTATGTTCAGTGCTGGACTGGAATGAGACTTTGTATGATTCAGATGGCCATTTTCGGTTGAGGTAGACACGTAGGTGCTGGGTTAGAGCATTTTCGATTGCATGTACAAGTATTCTATTGCAACTCTATCTAACGATTGACATTGTTTGGCATCTTGGGGTTGAGGTGAGTGGATGAGAACAGGTCGACTGACGTGTTTAGGTTTCCGTCATTTCTTGAGTGCACATGTCGTTCCGCTTCATGTCTATCACATGCTGCTGTCGAGCCCTGTGATGTTGGCATCTCACCGCTCCTCTTTGTCGATAAGGATCTGGGGTCTCTTACCTCATACTGGAGGGTGTGTTGTGTCCACTTTCTTGCTCTTATCTGTTTCTTTTTGGCGCATCTCACTCCACTTCCTTCTTTTCTTTCAATACTCTACTCGTTCATTGTACGTCATGCTTCAGCAGGATGCGTTGCTGCAAATCAAGGTCGCTACGAAAGAGAGATGCCGATGCCTGTAATGCTCAGCAACTGCCTTTACGCCGGCATACCGCTCACATCGAGTTACGCATGTGCTCTCCACGAGCAAGAGTCACGATGATTTACTTAGACAGCCAACGCCGGCACGAACTCTGGTGGAAGAAAGAGCATGGCAAAGGTCGAGCGGCTGCGCCTTGACTATAGCCGGAGCGACGAGGTCGCCACCTTTCATGCAAAGAGAAGATTTCGATAACTGCAATACTCTGCATCGGCGCCAAAGTTGGCATATCGCTCAAACAGCAGTAAGCATGTACTGACGGCCAGGCACAATTGCATTAAATTGCCCAAATCGATATTCAACGGAACAGAACTTGGTATTAGAAAGAGTATCTGGGCATCCCGAGTGGCTGCGCATCGATCGTGTCGGAAACGATGAGGCTGCGAGTTTTCATCTTCACTCTCATCGATGGACCCGCGTCTCGCGCTAGTGGGCTCCTTCCACTTACAGAAGCAACTTGCAACTTTGCAATCTCTCGACCGCACTCTGCGTCCTAGCATAGCAGAGCGACATCACTCACAAACTTCGCAAGAGCGCAACGATGCCTGGGCTCCCGAGCGCTAACGCAATGCCGGAGGAAGAGCACGACAGTGACGAAGCCCTGATTGACCTTGAGGGCGCAGAGGTACGGGATGCATGCCAGCGCTGAATAACACGCAAAATTCGGACTGACATTATGATTATAGGAGAACTACGACACCTACCCAACTCCGGCAGCAGAAACCTACGCACATCTCCCGAGGCCCATCCGCGACAACATCCACTTCTGCATCCAATCCATCGAGACCAGCGACTCCGAATACCAGGACACCATCAACACCATCGACGCAGCATTCGACGCCCAAAAGATATCGCTAGACGAACAGCACGCCCGCTCTAAAGCCCAAGAAGCCGCTTTCGAAAAGAGAGAAGCACTCTATATCCGCCTGCCTACCAACCAAGCCGTGAACCTGGTTCACAACGCTTTGCTTGTGGAACATGCACAAGAACGCGTACTCATCGCGGATATGTTCAGAGCGGTCAAGATTGGGAAGGTGGATATGAGAGCTGCGAAGGCGGACGGGCTGAAGAAGGCTAAGGAGGTATATCTGAGGCAGCGCAAAACACTCAGCAAGCTAATCGAGGGCTTGAGTGGTATGACTGGGAATATGAAGAATGAACGGGTGGTTGCTGGGCGGGGAGCTCGAGCTACTGGCGCATCGGCAGCTGTCAGGTCGCCTGCTCCGGTCCCTCGCTCTCAAAGCACGGCGCATGCACGCACGATCGCTCCGTTGCCTGCCATTCAGATCAGTGATGTGACAAGGTTGTCAGTCGTGCGGGGTTTCAACGGTATGACTAGCGGGCCGAGGTACTCACCGGTATGTGCGACTTTCTTCAGAGTTGTGACAGTGACTGACTTCTGGGTCTAGGTTGCTTCGATAGCTACCTCTCCAGCTACAGCCCTCTCTACAGCTCAGAGACACAAACTCACATCCACTATCAAGGATGTGATTCGCAACTGCATTACCGCCAAAGCATCCAGCGTGTCAAATTGGAAAGTGGAGAGGATCAAGTCTAAAACACAGGCCAAGGCGGACACGAAGGCATTAACGACGAGCCATGAGCTTTTATGTTCTCACGGAGATGACTTCAACGCAAGAGTCACCCTGTTCGAGAGCTTGAAATCCTATCCAAACTCCCTGCGTCCCTACTTCACCCGCATCGAACGTGACATGGATAAGGAACTTCTCCTCTTGAATGAATGCAACAAGCATTTGAACGAAGAACAAGCACGCATTGAGGGAGAACACAAGGAGAGGAAAAGTAAGGCTTACGAGCGCTGTGCCGAGGAGCAAGAGTGGCATGATAGGCAGTTGCAAAGTCTTCGGTCCCTGGCCAAGACTGCAGGAATCTCTCTTGACGACTGAGGTATATGGTGGATTCTTCAACGCGTTGAATGAGATTATGGTGGTTCTGTTAGCAGCCTTGAGGGGAACCGACTAGGTAGGCCCAACGTATGACCTCATACGGGCGCATAGCCGAAGATAGCAAATGATTGCCGATGCGGACGATTCGAGTGCGAAATGCAGCAATCGCTGGTCTCTATCTTCGCCTTCACTTTCACTGATAGCCTAGCGATTTGGCGCTAGTCGCTCCTGCTCTTTCTGGAAGACTCTCTGACTCCGACCCACACAACACGACCACATCACCGACCGAAACCCATATTGCGGCGACGCCTGCGACAATCGCGCGAACTCACCATGTCGTCGGACACCATCATTGAAGGCCTAAAGCAAGGCAACGGTGTCGAATTAGGCGTGCTCCAGAACCTGAAGGAAGGGCTCAACACTGTTGTCGACGGAATGATCAATCAGTGTCTGAGCCGCAGCGACGGGCTTGCTGAGTTGACGGAGAATCTATCACTGGTGAGTGCTACTATCTTGAGTTTCTCTACGACCCTCGAACTGACGTTAAACTTAGGGAAGTTCGAGCGAAGCAGCAACAGATCTCACGGCAGAAGACGAAATCAAGCTCGCAAAAATCATCGAAGACGCCATGCGGTTCTGCGAGAGAGAGATCGACTTCAATACTGGAACGAAGAAAGTGGAACTCGCCCGAACATCCATCGGATTCAAAGCTCAGCAGGGAGTTCTGGATATGCTGCTTACCCATATCAAGGCTCATGAAGATGCGTTGGATCAGAGGGCAGCTCTGCAAGACAAGTCACAGGACGTAGTGGATTGGTCACCATACGATGCTCTTCAACTAAGGGAATGTGCTTTCCTCGACAAGCTTCTCGCCTTTCACAGGGACGCAGCGAGAGAACTCAGGGAGAGGAAAAAGTCTTGTTATGATCGGATCGAGGATCAGCATGGGTGGGCACAGGGTACTTTGCAGATGCAAATGGCGGCTCTTCTCCGCATTGCTGAGGCTGCGAAAATCGATCTTGAAGTCGTACGCGACCTCGACGAACAATCACTTCAAGAAGCCTAGGCCACTTGAACAAGTCGCATACGCTTTCCTGTTTTTCCTGGTTGGCTAGTAGTGTGCATGTTCCATTTTCACCCGGTGTCCGTCCTAGCTCTTGCGTCTGTTCCTGACTGTCAGAGAATGACAGTGGAATTGCTTCGTCGCTTGGGCGGTATATAGATAAAACGGCGAAATAATAGACGCATGGAATAAAAAGTGCACAGCTGACAGGGAGAATGCATTCGAGTTTGATGAATTGTGAAGTACTCCATGGGCGAAAAATGCGTTAAGATGCTTTGATGTGTGGACTTTGCGAATAATCAATCGATCACCATCAAAGCATGCTCCCATAGTAAAAGTTATTGAAACGTCAAGAATACATCTCTACCGTGCTCATGATGTGTTGAGGTGGCCACCATGACATGTCCATGGACCCTCGATCAACCATATCCTCTGGTTGACGGCGTCCCCACCCACGGAACCAAACTTCACAAGCCGTCGGTGGACATGTTAACGTTGCACTTGACAGCTGTACTCATGAAAGTCCGCTGCTCTCCTTTGCAACCTCATCCTTGATCTCCAACGGCAAGGACTTCGTGAGACGTTTGCCCAGGATGCCCAAGATGGGTTTGATCGGTACGGTAAGTAAAGTCTCTGGCTATTCAATATTGAAGGGCATCTATCACATCCCAGTCACGTCTACTGTCAAGATCCACCCTCGCATCTTTGTCCAACAAGGCCACTTACTAACAAAACAATAGATTCGAAAGCGCCACCAAGAACGCAAAGACAAGAAGAAGGCAGTTCGCCAGACCGCACAACGGAACGAGCAGTCCCAATCCGATACCGCTGAGCAACATATCGAGCCCACGACACCCACCCCAAGCCAGCACCTCCCCTTCACAGGACCCACACGATTCTTCTCCCTCCGCCGCAAACGCGGTGTAAGCATCGGCATGTCCACCTACGAGCAGCTCCCCAACGGCGTAGAGCCCGCACTAATCGACCACTCCTGCCACCTAATGCAATATCCCAGCGGCGAAGAGCTGCCCCGTAAATCCCCCTTCGCCACACCCCCACCCGCCGATGCAGCCTCAGACTCCAAAGACGCCAGCCCCAAAACCTGGCTCAGTCGCGTAGGCGGCTCCCTCCGCCGCAAGCCAAGCGGCATACGCTCAGCGTTCTCGTACACGCTGCCACGGAACTGGAAGACCAACAACAGTAACAACAAAAACACCGGTGTCAGTGCAAAAGCCCTCGCAGAGACAGCGCACGAGTACAAAAAGTCTCAAATCCGGCGTCTCCACCCCAGCGACATCGACGCCGCCAACGACGACGGGCGAGGAAGAAGCCCCCTCCCGCACCACTGGCGCAGCAAGCAATCCAGTTCCTCGGTCTCACACTCACGCGATGGCGTCGTGAACAGGATGAGCGATACGACTAATACTACTATGGAAGGAAGTGAGATGGGAGATTGGATTGACCCGGATGAAGAGACGAGGGAGCAGGAGTTTGAGGACTGGATAGTGCATAATCGGTTGTTTGTTGAGGGGGAGGGGCTTGATGTGGCGAGTAGGCGGGTGTCGAGGGTGAGTGCGCTGTCGAAGAGGAGGTATAGTGATTATTAGGGGAGGAGTTGGGGCATACGCTGAGGTTTGAGCGACGGTGCGGTAGCTGGTGATGAGGTTTGAGGTATACGTGGGTGCGCGTCTTGATGTGAGCTGCGTACATGTGTGTTCCTGGGGCCTACATGACGCTGGGGTGAAGGTGAAGGCGAGGTACATGGAGACCTCTGTCTTTTGTCACCTTCTTGTTATTGTGATCTTTTTTGGCGTTTCGGGGTGAAGGCGAGATTTTCATGAGTCCGCTATTGTTCAGTCGGTATTGTAGAAAGTAGAGGTGAAGGCGGATACGTACCTATTGTAACAATAGTAGCTCTTGTCAACCGTCTCACTTTCGCCCAGAAGCCAGTACTATATAAATAGCTCATCCGCCTCCGCCTCTTGCTCTTCAGCAAATACCACACCTGCTCATTTTCAAGACATATCCAAGTTCCCTCTTCCCACCATCACCATCATCATCACCACCACCACAACAGCAACAATGCTGTCCCCGCAGAACAAGCTGCGCATCTTCCTGAGCCTGGTGCTCATCACCGTCTTCGCCGCGAGCTCAAATGAGCTACGCATTGCCATCGGCACCCTCTTCTCTTGGGCCCTAGGCCACGTCCTCATCCGCCGACTCTCCCTGTCGATCTCCTTTCGACAAGCCCACAACACCTACATGATGGTGTCGTTTGGCCTGCTGGCGGGCCTAAACGACCCATTTTGGGAAAACACCTTCGGCCGCATCCTCGACCTCTTCTTCGACCGATACCGCTTCGACCCAGACGTGCCTGGGTCGGGCTTCACAGACTGGCACGAAACCTTCCGCCGCCGAAAGGCATACGAGATCGATCTCGTTTGGCAATACCTCCGCACAGCGCTCTTCTGGTCCTTCTTCGCCGTTTTCCTCGCCGTTGCCGTTCCGCTTGTCCGCTGGTTCACTCATGAGAGTCAGACGACGAAACTGGAGCGGGCCTTCGCATACATGAGGGATCACCCTGGCGAGCGACCTCCCTGGATGTGCAAGCAGCCAGAGGCCACAGTGGTGTCCAAGAGGGACACAAGATACAATCGCCTGAGCAGCGAGCTCATCTTCGTGTGCGGCCCTGGTGGTGGGCTGGAGACGGTGATCGATGGCGACATCGAGGGCGCGATCTCTCGCCGGCGGGCACTGAGGCCGAGGTTCGCATGAGCGCTGGTCGCCATGCTGGTGGGGTTGTGGTTGGCGGTGGGCTATCTTGACGCTGGTCGTTGGGGTGGTCAGGGTTTCTTGTTTCTTTTTGCTTGGGGTTTGGGTTTGAGTGTTGTCGACGGCGGGCTGTCCTGGCGCTGGTCGCTGGGAAGTCCAGACCGGTCGGTACTCTTTATATAGATTGGTGGATAGGATAGTACTTCGGGGTCGTGTCCGATATCCTATGGTTGGATATGTTCGTGAGACCCAGTCTGGCTTGTCCCGATTGCAGTTTTCGAATGCATCTTTCTTCCTTCCCGCTAAAATGTCCTCCTCAAGTCTGCGTGAAGGCCTCTACCAACCTCCTCTTCATACACAAATCGTGTGTCTGGACTCATAGGGTTGTGATTGGTGGGGATTGGCATTTGTATTGCTTCGCATACGTGCTCCAGCAGATCCGGAAGTAGTTCATTGACTTTCGCTAGCAGCAAGGGTATGAACTTAGACGAGCCACCCGGTAGCTTTGCTATCAACAGCATCAACTGGGTCAAGTAATCTGGGGGGCTGAGTTCGGCATGTGATGTAGACCGAGGCACGAAATGAAGAACGTCCGCTAAAGCGCAGGCTATGTCGAATACCTTCTCCGTCTAATGTTGTTAGCAATGAGACAAGCGTGCAGCCGAGTGACGTACCATGCCGACGCCATGTATCTGCAGACTCTGAACAGGTAGCTTCATTGAGAGGATGGTCAGGTCTTTGCCCACCAGGATGGGATATCTGAATGTTAAGCAATCGTAAACAGACTCCGTAGAGAGAAACCCGAAGCGGGGAAACAGCTCCCACAGTTTGATCTGTAGCCAGAATTGCGATATGTGAACATTTGCAATCTCTTCGTTCGAAAGTTCGAGATCAGTGGGCAGCGCGGTGCGAACATCGTTCTCGAGCTGGAGCAACCACTCTTTACTACAGGTTTGCGCAGCACCGTTCCACACTGCGAAAAAGACTTCATCGAGGGGTCGGAAGACTGATGTGAGGTGGAGCAAGCCGAGATCATCATGGCCATCGAGCGGATAGCTTGAGGAAGTGACAGATAGTGTGATGGGCCGATTCCTACGAACGCCATGCGCTCTAACAACTAGTAAGCACTAAGGTCATTACGATGCCCATGGGTACTGCGAATCGTCGCTGTCTTCGCTCGCAGGTGGGATTGGATAGACGAGAAAGGGACAAATGATATCATGAAGCCAGAAGTTCATATGATGAACCACGATGTGTCAAAGTGGCAGAACAGACGTGAGAAAGACGGGGAGTGTTTAGCGTACCTTTCTGACACTACCAGAATCCAAAACAGCCGTGTCCTTGTCTTCGTGTCGAACCAATCCCTGTCCTCGTCTTTAAGCATCATAAACAAGGTTGTTGCTTCTCTCAAATAGAACCATGCTTGACGATAGTCGCCTCGGCCGGCGTAAGCTCCATACAGAAAGAAGGAGGTGTAAACTGATCGATGGTCAAGCTGCGTAATCCTATCTCGCTGCAGCGAGAGCAAGATATGATCTAAGTAGGAGCTTTCTGAATTCAACTGTGAAGATTGTGTAGATCCGCAATTGGCATTATTAGAGAGTTCTGCAAAGTTTGCCATGTATGCGCAAAAGGCATATATGAGCTGTCGAGATGTCGGCGAAGTCTGCATTTGCATGAACTCTTGTCGCAGTCTTTCGGCTGGTATGAGAGCTACTATCCTGTATATGCGCTCCTCGTAGACGTCGACCAACGTTCTGAAGACTTCCCTTGTCAATTCCACAGCGGTGGTAATGACCGCGGTCGGGGCAGCATCCTGTGGGTCGAAGATGTCGGCATCGTCATGGGGTATCGCTCTCAGTTCGTTGAGTACATTAGCCCTGGAACCTGTGCGACCTCCTTGACCCCGTGGTGCGTTGAAGGTGCAAGCTAGTTTTGCGGATAAACATCCTGCGCAAGGTTGCGCGCCATTGCACTTGGTTTTGCGGCGGCGACACGGGTCACATGCCTTTGCAACTTGTTTCCGGTGGACTGCCCTAGACACGGTGTTCTGCATCAAGCTTGAGTGTCTACGTGGGGTTCATGATGTTGATTAGAGATGTGAGGAGGCGTGGTGTGGAGTGGCCGCAGCCCAAGGTAGCCCGCCCGCTGGTCAGACGCGTCGCGTAATGCCGAGGCTGCTTACGTCATGTCAACACACTAATCTCTAAACAGATGCGCGTCACTGAAGA